AACCATCATGAAGAGTTAACTGCATCAAAAAATGCATATGGTGTATCAGTGTATTAATGTATCAGGGTAACATTAACAATATTAAATAAAACTGAAGCAATATGATAATTGCTATGTGATGTATATATATTTATAAAATCTATAATTTTATAGTTATGTATCTTTGGCAAGTTGTAGCTATTTCTGAATATTTTCCTTATATCAACACATATTATAATCATCATTGTCATTTGTAAGACTCCAAAATTCCTGCAGATACTGGGCACACCCTAAATTGAGGCCATGAATGCTCAACCTCTACCTCAGTCCAACATTCACCAACAAATCAATGCACCAGTGTCCACTAGTGACATGCTAATTGGTTTGTGTACAGTAGGAGGAATCTCCAAGCCAGAATAGCCACAGGATTGAAAGGGCTTTAATGAGTAATGGATATTTTGATTAATTTCTATCATGCTGGTGGTTCTGTTTCTCCAGGAATCCCAGGACCATGCTGAATGGTGGTTACTTTGAGAGAAGGAGATGACTGGGGAACATATATTCCCCAATCCCCCTGCAACAAACAAACCCAGAAGCAACATATATTAAGCCACTTTGTGGTCCATAACTGTCATTCCTGATGTTGATTTGAATAAGCCCCTTTCTATTATATACAAGTATCTTTTCCCTGAGACTCATAAAGTACTTAATAAAGGCAAATCTAGGTGGGTTTCCATAGTCCCAGACCTTGATACCAAAGATTGGGAGAATATATGGGATGCACCCTTTACCAAGCTCATTTCTGCTCGTGACCAGCTTATCCATTGCACATTTCTACACCATATCTATCTGGCACCAGCCAAATTAGACTTGATCTTTGTAAATAGATCTTCCTCCTGATGGCACTGTTCTGTCACTGAGGCAGACTTCATGTATGTTTTTTGGGACTGCTCAGGCTATTCAGGTGTATTGGGGTGAGGTCCTCCAATGTATCCAGTCAGTAACTACAATATCACTACGTCCCTCAGTAAGACGTTGTCTCTTAAGTTTAGTGGATTATTTGGCCCCCACTAGGGCTATATGCAACCTTACTTTGTTATTTTATAATGCAAGAAAGCATACCATTTTTTCCTGGAAGAAAGCTGCAGCTCCAGCATTGGCCTCTAGGAAGGCCTTGGTGAATAGAACTCTTTATATCTTTAATTTTATAAGGCTATTAGGGGTACCTCATAAATTTGACAAGGTATAGGGGAGGTGGGTAGCCTTCCCTCAAACAGTATAAAATTGAGAGTGTATTTTTTACTTATTGTACTTAGCTGTCTACTGACTTGAATTTTGTAATGTGATCCTGCATGCCTCTTTATTGTTGCCTGTTTGTACTGGATGTGTGAATTCTGGAGACCTCAAAAAGATATTGATAAGATAGAACTAATCCAGAGATGGGTAACAAAAATGGTGAAAGGTCTGAGGGATAAAACATATCAAGAGCGACTTCAGTAACTTAAGATGTACAGTCTGGAGCAAAGAAGGGAAAGGGGAGTCATAATTGAAACCTTTAAATACATCAGGAGGTGAATAATTCTGAATGGAAGGCTTTGGAAGATCTGTGCAGTAATAAAGAAGTAGTTATAAAGGCAGCCAACAAAGGGGGAAATATAGTCTTGATGGACAGAGCATTTTATTTGAAAATGTGTTATGAGTTATTAAGCAATGAGGATAACTATGAAATACTTCAGAATGATCCAACCCCCAAATACTTGAGTGAGTTGAACTCTATTTTGAAAAAGACTGTTGAAAAGAGGTGATCCTCTCCAAAGATGAAGGTGCCTTTATTATGAATGCACATCCAACTATTGCAACTTTTTATGCCTTACCTAAGGTACAAAAACATAAAGAAAAACCTCCTGGCCACCCTATTATCTCAGACAATAACAATCTTACAGAAGGAGCAAGGAAATATTTAGATTATATCATGCATCCATTTGTATATAGTTCACCTTCATATATTGAAGATACACAAGACTTTGTAAACAGACTAATAGATATCACAATATAAGATGATGTGTGGTTAACTAGTCTAGATGTGGAGGCTTTATATAATACTATCAGTCATGATTTGGGTCTAAAAGCTTGTAAATCCTTTCTGGAAACTAGAGGCAAACTATTTGAGAACCATACCACATTCACTCTCCAACTTTTGCAGTTTGTATTGGAACACAATTTTTTCCTATTTCATGGTAAAGTGTATAGACAGCACAGAGGAACTGCTATGGGTTCATCGTGCACATCTACCTATGCAAATCTCTTTCTTGGGTGGTGGGAGTGTACTATGGTCTTTGTAGAAGAGCTAGAATGTTTTACGTCACACATTCTTATGTGTGCAAGATTCATTGATGATGTGTTTATAGTATATCAGGGTCAAAAGGATCTGTTTGTGGAATTTGTAGCCACCTTAAATCAAAACACTATTGTGATGCACTGCACGAGTGAAATTAAATATGAAAGCATACATTTTTTAAACTTGGAGATTAAAAGGAGTGAAGGAGGCAATATTAATACAACAATTTATCAAAAACCGACCTCCAGGAATAGCCTGTTACATTGGGGAAGTTCACATCCAGCAGCCTTTAAAAGAGGAATTCCCACTGGTCAATTTATCAGAGCAAAGATAAATTTCTCACCAGAAGGGGCATTCCAAATGAAGAGTCAAAAATTGTTTGACAGATTCATGATACGTGGCTATCATAAGACTGATTTGAATAAATCCTATGAGAACGTGAAAGGAGTTTCAAGAGAATCTCTGTTGGGTCAGAAAGCCATAAAAGTGAATGACCAGCAAGGCATGTATCATAGATAAATATTCAAATCAATCAGGGCAGATTTTCAACATCATAAAGAGATATTGAAACATTTTGCATGAGGAAAAATATCTATCACAGATCCCATCTAAAGACCCCAAGATAATCTACAGATGGGGTAGGAATTTGAGAGACATGTTAGTAAAAATCTTTAAAACTTCAATGAAACACACTTGGCTACCTGAGAAACCAAAAGGTAGTTTCAGGTGTGGTCACTGTAAGGCTTGTACTTTCTTGAGCAATACCAAGGAGTTTGTTAATCCTAAAAATGGGGAGATTATTAACCGCATGCCGCCCAGCCACTGTACATATACGTTGGCAGGGCGGCACTGTTAGGAATGGACTGGCCAGCAATGGTGGGACTCACCTGCCTTTTGATCTGCAGTACCAGGGCTGGCCAGCGGGTGTGCCCCAGCAATCAGAGACTCAACCTTTCAGCCAGCTAACACCTGGAACTGATGATACTGGTGTATTTAAGGGATGGCCAGACTTGCAGACTCTGCCTTGGTGTTGTGTTTGTCCTGGGCCCTGTATCTGTCCTGCATCCTGTTTCTGTTCCTTTGCTGACTTCTCCTGCTCTGATCCTGGCTTGTGACCCTGACCATCCCTCTGTCTGACCCTCTGTACTACGCTGCTTGCTACCTGTTCTGATCCCTGGCTTGTGACCCGGACCATCCCTCTGCCTGACCCTCTGTACTATGCTGCTTGCTACCTGCTGAACCTGGCCTGTGACCCCGACCATTCTCCGCTTGCTCCCCCTGTACCTACCTGCCCAATTGATATTGACCCGGCCTGCCTGACGACGCTTGCTTGTATATACTGTTATCTGTGGGTGGTTTGGTTTGTTTGCACCGTATTAAGTTTTAGTATTGCACTGCGTTTATGTTTGTACTGTTAGTGTTAATAAATTATATTGTTTATAACATATCTGAGGTCTGCGTTTCCCTGCTTCAGTCACACACCTCTGGTCATACCTGGGAGCCCTGACATTACACCAAGGCCAATCCTGACCAGAAGTGGCTGCACAGGGAAGCCATCTTGGCTTGTTGATGGGAAGGATGGATCTTGAGCCATTTAGTGCAGACCAGGTTAGAGTCCCTGGTGTGGTTATTAGAGGATGATGTGGGTTACTTTCTGGAGCGTTATTCCACATGTTCACCACAGACACTGAGAGATTGTATATAAACGCAGTGCAGTCATTGGTCAGACAGGCTTTGTGTAAGCTCAGCTTTGTTCAACCCCTACTGCAGACATGGACAGACTTGTTGCACCCCAGCCTCAGTCAGCTTACAAAGACCCAGTCCTGCTTCTAACTCTACTCCTGTATTCCCACCAGCTCCTCCAGTTACAGCCCAGTATACTTGGCTATCTACCGCATGTCAGTACCCTGTTCCCACTCGCTGCACCTATCCTGCCTTTAACCCTGTAAAAAAAGCCCTCTGTAGCAACTGCTCCCTCTCCTGTTCCATCCTCCAGTTCTTCTCTGTCTCCAGCTGCTCCATTCGTTTGCAGACCTGCGTTTACTTGCAGTGCTCCAGTAGTTAAAACCAGAAAAAAGCGAAATTCTTTCCAACCAATACCATCCTGCCAGTATCCAAACCGGTGAGCCTGCCTTCCGTGGTTCAGACTGATGCCTGTACGCAGCCTGATGCCTCTACTCGGCCTGAAGCCTCTACGTGGCCTGAAGCCTCTACGCGGCCTGAAGCCTCTACTCGGCCTGAAGCCTCTACTTCGGCCTGAAGCCTCTACTCGGCCTGATGCCTCTACTCGGCCTGAAGCCTCTACGCGGCCTGAAGCCTCTCCTCAGCCTGAAGCCTCTACGCGGCCTGATGCCTCTACTCGGCCCTGATGCCTGTACTCGGCCTGATGCCTGTACTCGGCCTGATGCCTCTCTTCAGCCTGAAGCCTCTACTCGGGCCTGATGCCTCTACTCGGCCTGATGCCTCTACTCGGCCTGATGCCTCTACTCGGCCTGAAGCCTCTACTCGGCCTGAAGCCTCTACTCGGCCTAATGCCTCTACCCAGCATGATGAACTGATCCAGCCTGACGATCCTATTAGGCCAGTTGACTCGATGCCCGCTGTTGATCCAGATGATCCGGTACCTGATCCGGTGGCCCGCTGTCCGTGCCAATTAACTCAGAGCCCGCTGTCGTGTACCTGGTGACTCGGTGCCCACTGCCTTGCCAGATGACGCGGTGCCTACGCTGGCAAGCCAAATGACCTGATGCCTGGTGACCTAGTGTCCGCTGTCATACCTGATGACCCGATGCCCGCTGTCGAGCCAGACAATCCGGTACCTGATGACCCGGTGCCCACTGTCGTGCCTGTTGACATCGGAGACCACTGCCTTGCCAGATGACGCGGTGCCCGCTGTCGAGCCAAATGACCTGATGCCAGGTGACCCGATGCCCGCTGTCCAGTCAGACGATCCAATGTCTGACCCAGTGCCCGCGGTCCATACCAGTTGACTCGGAGCCCACTGCCTTGCCAGATGACGCTGTGCCCGCGGTCGAGCCAAATGACCTGATGCCTGGTGACCCGATGCCCGCTGTCCAGCCAGACGATTCAATGTCTCTGCCCCGGTGCCCGCGGTCATGCCCCAGTTGACTCGGAGCCCACTGCCTTGCCAGATGACGCGGTGCTCGCTGTCGAGCCAAATGACTTGATGCCTGGTGACCCGATGCCCGCTGTCCGGTCAGACGATCCAATGTCTGACCCAGTGCCCGCGCGTCATGGTGTCACCAGTTGACTCGGAGCCCACTGCCTTGCCAGATGACGCGGTGCCCGCTGTCGAGCCAAATGACCTGATGCCTGGTGACCCGATGCCCGCTGTCCAGCCAGACCATCCAATGTCTGACCCAGTGCCTGCGGTCATACCAGTTGACTCGGAGCCCACTGTCGTGCCTGGTGTCTCGGTGCCCGCCGCTCCGCCTGGGGGCCCGAGACCTGTTGCTCCGCTTGGGGGTCCAGCGCCCACCGCTCCACCTGGGGGTCCCGGCGCCCGCCGCTCCGCCTGAGGGCCCGAGACCTGTCGCTCCTCCTGGGTGTCCGGCGACCGCGCCGCTCCGCCTGAGGGGCCCGAGACCTGTCGCTCCTCTTGGGGGTTCCGGCGCCCGCCGCTCCGCCTGAGGGCCCGAGACCTGTCGCTCCGCCTGGGGGTCCGCGCCCGCCGCTCCGCCTGAGGGTCCCAGAGACCTGTCCTCCACCTGGGGGCCCGCCCGCGCTCCGCCTGAGGGCCCGAGACCTGTCGCTCCATCTGGGGTCCGGCGCCCGCCGCTCCCGCCTGAGGGCCCGAGACCTGTCGCTCCTCCTGGGGTCCGGCGCCCGCCGCTCCGCCTGAGGGCCCGAGACCTGTCGTCGCTCCGCCTGGGGGTCCGGCGCCTGCCGCTCCGCCTGAGGGCCCGAGACCTGTCGCTCCCACCTGGGGGTCCGGCGCCCGCCGCTCCGCCTGAGGGCCCGAGACCTGTCGCTCCTCCTGGGGGTCCGGCGCCCGCCGCTCCGCCGCCTGAGGGCCCCGAGACCTGTCGCTCCACCTTGGGGGTCCGGCGCCCGCCGCTCCGCCTGAGGGCCCGAGACCTGTCGCTCCTCCTGGGGGTCCGCGCCCGCCGCTCCCGCCTGAGGGCCCGAGACCTGTCGCTCCGCCTGGGGGTCCGGCGCCTGCCGCTCCCGCCTGAGGGCCCGAGACCTGTCGCTCCATCTGGAGGTCCGGCGCCCGCCGCTCCGCCTGGGGGCACGATGCCTGTCGCCCCGCCTGGGGGCACGATGCCCGTCGCCCCGCCTGGGGGCACGATGCCCCGTCGCGCCCCGCCTGGGGGGCGCCGATGCCTGTCGCCCCTCCTGGGGGCCCGATGCCTGTCGCCCCTCCTGGGGTCACGATGCCTGTCGCCCCGGCCAGCCTGGGAGCCCGATGCCTGTCGCCCCGCCCGGGGGGCCCGCTGTTACCTGCCACTCCAAGCTGGACTTCCGCCCGGGGGCCCGCTGCCTGCCGCTCCCCGCGCCCGGGGGCCCGCTGCCTGCCGCTCCGCCCGGGGGCCCGGTGCCTGCCGATCCGCCCGGGGGCCTCGGTGCCTGCTGCTCCGCCTGGTGGGCCCGCTGCCTGCTGCTTCGCCTGTAAATCCGATGTGCCTCTGCCCGGAGTCCCTGCCCGATGTGCCTCTGCCCGGAGTCCTGCCCGATTTGCCTCTGCCCGGAGTCCTGCCTGATGTGCCTCTGCCCGGTGTGCCTCTGCCCGGAGTCCTGCCCGATGTGCCTCTGCCCGGAGTCCTGCCCGATGTGCCTCTGCCCGAATGTGCCTCTGCCCGGAGTCCTGCCCGATGTGCCTCTGCCCGGTGTGCCTCTGCCCCGGTGTGCCTCCTGCTCGATGTGCCTCGCCCGGAGTCCAGCCCGGTGTGCCGCTGCCCGGAGGGGAGTCCTGCCGCGGTGTGCCAGTCTTGATTTCCCGCCAGTTGCCAGACCCGGGCGGGTTTAACATTTTGCCCAGCTAGGACTGTTTGGAGCGTCCTGAGGCCGCTCCTTGAGGGGGGGGGGGGTACTGTTAGGAATGGACTGGCCCAGCAATGGTGGGACTCACCTGCCTTTTGATCTGCAGTACCAGGCTGGCCAGCGGGTGCTCCCCCAGCAATCAGAGACTCAACCTTTCAGCCAGCTAACACCTAGAAACTGATGATACTGGTGTATTTTAAGGGAATGGCCAGACTTGCAGACTCTGCCTTGGTGTTGTGTTTGTCCATGGGCCCTGTATCTGTCCTGCATCCTGTTTCTTGTGTTCCTTTGCTGACTTCTCCTGCTCTGATCCTGGCTTGTGACCCTGACCATCCCTCTGTCTGACCCTCTGTACTACCGCTGCTTGCTACCTGTTCTGATCCCTGGCTTGTGACCCGGACCATCCCTCTGCCTGAACCCTCTGTACTATGCTGCTTGCTACCTGCTGAACCTGGCCCTGTGACCCCGACCATTCTCCGCTTGCTCCCCCTGTACCTACCTGCCAATTGATATTGACCCGGCCTGCCTGACGACGCTTGCTTGTTATATCAGCTGTTATCTGTGGTGGTTTGGTTTGTTTGCACCGTATTAAGTTTTAGTATTGCACTGCGTTTATGTTTGTACTGTTAGTGTGTTAATAAATTAATATTGTTTATAACATATCTGAGGTCTGCGTTTCCCTGCTTCAGTCACACACCTCTGGTCATAACCTGGGAGCCCTGACAGGCACTCACAGGCAAAACCACGTTTTAAGACGTGTGTTTTTGTAAAACAAATAGGGGGCGTGCGCGAGGCGCTCCGCTGCCCTATTTGTCCCCGCGGATCACCGCTGCAGATGTCAGTCGCCGGTCACAGCCGCTCCCTAGCGGCTATGTCCCGGCGATTGGCGGCAAACAGTGACAGAGAGCACAGCTGCAGTAGCTTGTGCTGTCTGTCCACTTCCTTCTCAGCTCGAGGATGAGCTGATCGAGAAAGAACAGTTTTTCTTTCTCGATCAGCCTTCCTCCCTCCCAGTACACACCCCCGCCCCCTAGTAAAACACTCCCCTCACTCCTATAACCCTTCCCTGAAAAATAAAGTTAACCCCTTCCTCCCATTGCCATTAGTTTACAGTGTATCAGTTGTTTTTTTTTTTTTGCACTGATCACTGTACTAGTGTTTTTGGGGATGTCAGTGACCCCAAGTCAGTACCCCCCCCAATGTCAAAATGTCCCACCGCAGTCCCGCCATAATCCCTGATCGCCGCCATAATTCGCTGATTGCCGCCATTATTAGTATAAAAAAAAACCTAAAAAAACCCAGGTATCTTTCCCGCCATTTTGTAAACGCTATAAACTTTCACGTAAACCAATTAATTTACACGTGTATTTGGGTTTTTTTTTTTTTAGCAAAGGCATGTGGCAAGTAATGCATTTTGGCAGAAATTTTATGAAAGATATAATTTGATTTTTGCATTTTTTTTTTACTGGACATGTTGTTTTTATAGCAAAAAGTCCAAAATATTGTTTTTTTTTCCTCAAAATTGTCAGCCTTTTTTTTTTTATAGCGCAAAAAATAAAAACCTGCACAAGCGATCAAAGAAAGAAAGAAAGCTCAATTTGTGGGGAAAAAAGGATGTAAATTTAATTTATGTACCATATTGCATGACCGCGCAATTGTCCATTAAACTAGCGCAGCGCTGTATAGCAAAAAAAATGGCGTAAATTGCAGTATTTATACCATAGGTTGTTTGTAGAAACGCTATAAACTTTTATATACACAAAAAGCAATCAATCTTTTATATATCACTTATTGGGATAAAAAAATTTTCCACAAAAAGCAATCAATATCACTCTTAAAACATGTAGCAGAATACATTTTTGGCCTAAATTTATAACCAACCAGTTTACTATATATTTTTTATAGGCTGAAAATAAAAAATATTGTTTTTCTTCAAAGTTTTTGGGCCTTTTTTTGTTTATAGCGTGAAAAATAAAAAGCGTAAACAGGTGATCAAATTACACCAAAAGAAAGCTCAATTTGTGTGGAAAAAAAGGACATAAATTTCGTTTAGGTGCAGCATTGCATGACCGCGCAATTATCAGTTGAATTAGTGTAGCGCCGAGCAGCAAAAAGAGGCCCTGGTCATTAACCATTAGCCGCCCGGTAGCCAATGGCCGTTTGGCGGCTTCAGAAGTTGTCTCTCCACTCCGGGTGCACGCCATTTGGCGTGCTCCCACACATGGCGCCGTTTGCGCTAATGCAGAGCGGCGCAGCAGTGCGAATCTGTCACCGGCCGTGCACCCTCTTGGACACGGGCTCGATGACAGATCCGAGTACCGACTCCCGTTGCTGGTACCATGTGACCTGCATGTGACCAATCACAGCAGGTCACATGACAGTTGTATACAATGGATGCTTCATTCATGATCCATCCATTGTATACTAGTGCCTAGCTGTGAATGGTAACAGCTAATCACATGCACATGTCATGTGATTAGCTGTGACCAAATCACAGCTAAGCACAAAAAAAAAAAAAAAAAAAAAAGCTGAATGAAATCGATTTTCATTCAGGTAAATGCTTGCTTATAGCAAAGTAATTCTTTGCTATAAGCAAATTGTGTAAAAAAAAAACAAAAAAAAAAAAAAACGATCACTTCCCTAAGTATGTACAATGTTACTATGGTAACATTGTACTACTTAGTACTGTAGGTAAAATATGAAAAAAAATCTTAAAAAAAATAAAAAAAAATGTAATAAAAAATTAAATATAATAAAAAAATTTAAAAAAAATATATATATATGCTTTTTTTTTTTCCATACTGTCACCCAGTCAGTGTCCCTGTTCACCGCCCATGCCAGTTATATTGATGACGCTGTACTGCACTAGTGACAGTATGTAAAAAAAAAAAATAGTGAAAATAATTTTTTTTAATTTTTTCATTTTCCGAAAAAATTATTGACAAAAAAATACAACTTCAAAAAACTCGCCATGCCTCTTATGAAGTACGTCAGACTGTCTACTCTGCAAAAAGGGGTCATTTGGGGATATCTAGGTACTATTCTGACATTCTTGGACCCTCAAGAAATTAGATTGGCTGTCAGTACTTCAGATTGATCAATATTCATATCTATAAATACCATAGTTTGTGAACTCTATAACTTTCCTACAAACTAAAAAATACATCCTAATTTGAGTTATTTTCACCCAAAGGACATGTAGCCCCCCCCCACCCCCCCGCCCCCCAGACTACATGTTGGCCTAAAATTATGAAGAACCATTATTTATTTGTAACTTTTATAACAGCAACAAAGAAAAATGTGGTTTTTTTTTTTAAAATTTTTGGTCTTTTTTTGTTAAGTTAGCAAAAAATAAAACCCCAGCGGGGATTAAATACCACCAAAAGAAAGCTCTAGTTTGTGGAAGAAAATGAATAAAATTTTATTTTGGGTACCGTGTTGTATGAACCGCGCAATTGTTCATTCAAAGTATGAGAGCGCTGAAACCTGAAAAAATTGGCCATGGGCAGGAAGGTATGTAAAATTGCACGGTATTGAAAATGGTTAAGGGGGTATAATCCTCAGGAGCTCAATTGGTTAGAAAATAAGATAATTTATTTACTTCAATAATTGCAGCACAGAGGGGGTGATTTATGCTTTAAAAATGCCCTATAGCTCACTAATATATGTAGGAAAAGGAAACCTAGATATATGTCTTTTGAATTTTGTAAGCCAAAATGGATTTTTCATTTTAGGCTCGAAGGGCAACCTTTGTGGTTTAAATGAAGGATTTACCTTCCTTCCTTCCCTTTCTTGCGTGTGATTAGGGATTTGTGCTTTTTGTTGATTTTGCTCCCAAAAATGCTATATAATGGTATGAACTGTTAATTTTGGTCCTTACTTAGTAGGCATTAACCGTGTTTGAGAGCACCAGAAGTGTCTATGTGTTGTGGACTGATGTGGCTGCTGTGGTGTTTGTTTTGTCCCAAGATGGCAACCTGTTGAGTAATGAAGCATGCAGTTTTACGTCCACAAAGTGGTGTTTGTTGAGGAACGAGCATGTGCCGGGAGGCCATTTTAATGGCCATCTCAATATATAAGTGAAACAACCCAAAAAGTGCCATTTTGGGCCCCCATGTGCAGCCCGAGCACAACTTCCGCCCCTATGTTTTCCTATTTTTTAAATTTTTTTTTTACTCCTGACGAAGCCTTTTTTTCTGGAACAAAAAAATGTAAAAATTTTTTTTTTTTTCTTTGGGGCTTTCTTGGGACAAATTTTTGAAAAGCAAAGTTTATTCCCTCCTCCCCCCCCCCTTTTTTGGAGAGGGGCTGTACTGAAAATTTTAAAAAGTGCATAAATTTTTTCATTCCTCCCAAAACAGTAGGTTTCTTTTGATTTGGGTTAAAAATTTATGTATGGGGCTTAACCATTAGTGGGGTGAAATTTTTAAACCCCCTGGAAAGAGTGTACCCTATTACATTTTCTAAAGCAAGATAGATTAACATCTAATTAGTTTT